CACGGTAGCTAGCTCTATCCCTCTATTTGTAACTCCGAGCTGCTTCTCCTCGCACTAGGACGCCATCCCACTGCTTGCCACCAATGTAACGGATCAGCTGGCACCCCGATTGGGTACCTCCGTTGAAGGATGCTCCTAGCGCTTCCTGAGGGCTCCAAGCACTCCAGCTGACCCCATAACCACTGTAAACTCCTTCAGAGAGCAAGACAGGAACAAGATCTTAAAAGAGCTTAGAAGTGATTATCCAAGGGAGCATGCAGAGCATAGCAATCCCTTGTAGTGATATAGCAATTCCCCCAAAAAGAGATAGGACTCTAGATTGAGGGTGAAGAAGAACTGTCTAAAATTTTATTTTCCTTGGGACTAGCCCATATGGTCATTACATTAACATTGCTGTGAAAACTCACTAAAATTACAAACAGTCAAATTATAGCAGGCAACATACAGTGACTTATTATAACACAATGACATATTTTTAAAGAGGTGGGGGAGACAATAATTAACAGAAAATTTCTCACGTGCCTGCAGAATTAGCAATATGCAAATCTACCCGAATATGCAAATGAACCAGTCTTGCTATTCAGGTAGTGCATATTGATGTAGCTACCAACAGAGGGCACTAGACAAGCTCCATAGCCAAATCCACCTAGTTGGTAGCAAACCTCAGCAGGACAGGAGAGCAGGCAATACATCCCAGGGGCCATAGTAACATGGCAGGAGGCTGGCAATCAGTCTCTCCAATGCCCAGTGGCGAGGCTGGTTCCGCCACATCCTTCAGTTAGATATAAAAGGCAATGACCCATATATCAATAATATACAACAGTATTCCAACATGAACATAACTTAAAGTGCCAACATTTTTAATGAATTAACCATAGTAAGGGTATACCCGGATACCCCTACCCCACCAGGTTCTGAGCCACCAACTACCAAACTTACTAAGAACCATATTCACCATTTCCATAACCATCCTAACAGGGAGCCTATTTCCTATCCTTCAGCTCCCTATCCCACCACAAGCTCAGACCTTGAACCCTTAAGCCGTGGGAGCTCCGCCACCCTGAAGAAATAGCGCTTGCTGCAGCCCTTCCTGCCAACCCAGGTTCAGGAGGTCTCACTCCACTGCAGAGAGGTGAACTTCATCCGAGTGATAGTAACTGGGCAAACCAACCTCCAACTCCCTATGCCTCACTACCACTACCCCCATTTTCCTGACACAACTGCACTTCTTTCGCCAGCTTTTCCCACAGCACCCCTGGAAACTCTTCCACCGACCACAGATTGTGCAACCCCCGTGGTCCACCCCTGTCCTGAAAGAAACCCAACTGGAAACCCACACGCAGCAACTCGGCATCCACCCTATTACCGTAGCAGCTTAGCCATGGCACCATCGCGTCTAACTTCACTGGGGTTAGGCCCGCGGGAGTGGGTCCACCCCCAGCCGAGGCAGTACCCCTGGCTCCCCCCCATCTTACCTCGCTTAAAACACCGATTGAGTCTGTGGGAGCCCCCACAACCCGAACACTTGTGCTTAAAGCGACAGGCAGCCCCCCGAATTGCACTGGCCCTCATTGAAGAGCCAGCATAAGCCCTTTTGGAAGGCGACCGACGAAGCGGACTGCCCCCTTGCACCGTCCGTTTGCTAAAATGGCTTTGTCTCTTGCGCCATCATCAGCTCCATCTGGTCCCACCTCATACCCGGATTAGCCACAAGTCGTTGTCGGAACTGTCATTGTACCTCCACCACGCTAGCCGGCCATACATGCAGTATGCCTCCCTTCTCCTCCTCCTCCTTTATTTTCGTCCTTCTTGTCATCCTCCTTCAGATCATTAAAATCTTTCAACGGAAGAAGCGAGAAAATTTAGCAAAACTTTGCCTTTCATAACTTCTCCCTCACATCCTGCTTCAATTGTACCCCAACAGCCTGGTGAACGACACATACGCGTTCTGCCGTGCCGCGTCCGGAACCCCCTGTCAATTCCGCCCTCTCGCTCATGACCTCCACCTGCCCTTCCGTCGTCCCTGTGTCTCCACCCATACTGCACCTCACTGCACCACCCGCACCTGACCTCGTGCTTGTTGCAACCCCTGCCCCATGCGCTCACATCTGGCCCATAGTAGACCCCTGACTACCTCGTGCCCCCAATGAGATAAGTAGGGACTGCAAAGTGTTCAGCAACGTGTTGGAGTGTAGTGCAACATCTGACTCACCGACCAAGCTCCTCGCCCCGGACTGCCCGGGGGCTGCACTGCCAACTCCATCAGGTCCAGGATGCACACGAACTGGGGAGCAGACCCGATGCCAAGAACGCCCAGAAGAAGAACGGCTCAGAGACCCACGGTTCCTCGCTGCCATCCTGATTCCCTCCAGCAACTTGTCCACCTAGTCCATCCTGCAGAAAAGAGAAAAAAAGAAACCTACCAGGCCTAATAAGTGGACACACAAGTTAAAAGTGATTTTTCTAAGATGGCTGCCTATTTATATAACCCAACCCATAACCCTCAAAACCACCAATCCCTACATACTTCCTCCTATGCCCGCCTCCTAGCCCAGTCAAGGCCCCTTTCCACTAAGCTGTGCTTTTGCTACATGGTGCTACAGAACAAACAAACAAAGAGACTGCAAGCTTCGGGAAAAAGAAACAGAGTAGAAAGATGAGGATAAAAAAATCTGCTGAGAAAGAATACACAGATTAAGAGAGAGGAGGTACTCACTGTGGAGGTAAGGGAAAGATTTAGAAGAATTCTCAAACTCCGCTACAGTCACCATTCTACTGTTTTTGCTTAAAATTTACATTTCAGTTTTCAACACTGCAATTCAGAGCTTGCGATTAAACCTCTAAAGGAATGTAGTTGCATTCATGAGGAGCCGGTAAAATGGATCTTCACCTTGGGCAGCAGGAATCCTTGCATCGGCCTTGATTACATTTATGGGGAAGATAGTAGAGTGAACTGAACTGTGGAAATAAAGAGACTCTTGGGCTTATGAGAGTTTGTTAGTAAGAAAGAGGGCTGTGTAAGAGCGTAACAGGAATTTGTAGAGGAGAAAGTCTTTTATACTCAATGCAGGGGATCCCAATTAATTTTTCCCGTGGAACCCTTTGACATAGTGTATCAACATTGTGAAAAAAAGAAAATTGCGCAGTGTGTCTGTGTGTCAAGATGTGTGTATCTGTGTTTGTATGTGCCGGTGTGTGTATCTATGTGTCAATGTGTATTTGTGTGTGTGTGTGTGTGTATGTATCTGACACACAGATACGCACACCTTGACACACAGTGTGTATCTCTGTGTGTGTGTGTATGTATGTATCTATTTATCTATCTGTGTGTCAATGTGTGTGTATCTGTGTTTCAAAGTGTGTGTATCTGTGTTTGTATGTGTCTGTGTATCAAGGTGTGTGTATCTGTGTTTGTATGTGCCAGTGTGTATGAATCTGACACACACACACACTTGCACATAGTGGCACACAGATACAAACACTGACACAGATACACACACCTTGACACAAGGGGTCCAGTGAGGCTGCTGAGCAGCTGGCGTGCGGGTGGTGAGGGAGCAGTGATCTCCCTGCTCAGCTCCCTCATGCGCTTCTTAGTGATGCTGGAGTCGGAGTGTCGTCATATTCTGGCTCCGGCATCACTGCTGTGAGCGAGAGAGAGCTGAGCAGGGAGATCACTGCTCACTGCTCCCTCGCCACCGTGGCCATTTCGTTTTCAGAAATTTTGGCGGAACCCCATTTGTGTTCTTGCAGACCCCAAGGTTCCATGGAACACCAACTGGGAAACGCTGACTCAACGAACAACCTAATTTAGTACATCAAAGGAATTTAGAATATGTAGCACAGGCTCAATCATAAAGACGAACCATGGAAGCCAAATCTCCTGGTAGGAATCATAGGCGTGCGCACGGGGTGTGCCAGGTGTGCCCGGGCACACGCTAATCCCACCCTAATCCCCGCGGCCCGCCTATGGATTGAGACCGGCAGGGGAGATCTCAGGCTCATGCAGAGCCGGTGCTATCAGAGCGCCGGCTCTGCTCTAAGCATCCATTGGCCGGTGGGGAGATCAAAGATCTACCTCACCGGCCCACAGCAGCATAGAGGCAGGAGAGGACCCGGGGAGCTCTAGCCAGCAGCTCCGCCGGGTTCCTCTTGCGAGATCTGAGCATTGCCGCAGCAACGCTCAGATCTTGCGAGAGTGAACTCTAGCCCCGCCGGCTAGGGTTCACTCTCCACTGGACCACCAGGGATGGCAGCAGCACGTTCCCCCCTCCCTACATAAGGTAAGAAGGGAGGGGGGATATTAACTAATCTGCCCTCACCTCCACCCAAACATACAGCACACACACACATACAGCACCCTTACACACACAGCACCCAAACACATACAGCACCAACACACATACAGCACACAAACAGCACCCACACACACAGCACCTACACACATACAGCACCCACACACACACAGTACACTAACAGCACCCTCACAAAAACACGACACCCACACACAGCACACAAACAGCACCCTCACACACACAAATCACACACACAGCACCCTCACACAGCACACTAACAGGACCATAACAAACACACGCAGCACACTACCAGCACCCTCACACACAGCACACTACCAGCACCCTCACACACGTAAAAGATTTAATTCAGTATCCACTTAGTAATTGCTAGAGAAAAATATTGCTTTCACTTAGCAGGTATGTAGGATTTATCTTCTTGAAGTAAATAAAATCAGGAAGGAGAGCTCCCATTTATAACATAAACCTTCAGGAAAGTGAAAGATTAATATATATGGTGCAAAACAGAATCATAGGTCCAACAACTATGTTGAAAAAAAATCTCACATCAGCCCGGCAGCCCTAGCAAACATTAGGGCGTATTGCAAACATGTTGAAAAGGACCAAAAGGGCGGAAATACCAGGGAAGGTATTTAAGGTTAATGAACTATGTACTTGTTTCTTTAAATGTTCTGTTCATCTCATTTGACCAGGTGTCTCTTCACTATGCTGCTTGACATAGCTCTTGCCTTTGTTAACTCCTGGCCTTTATGATGTAGTTATCCCTCACAGCTATGTCATAGACAGTGAGACAGAGGAAGGGGCTAATGCATAATGGCCCTAGTATAGTGAAAATATGTGCTTGTTTCT